AAATAGCAAACAAATGGTATGTTGTTGATTTTCGCGCACAGCTGCTCGAGGGCTATCTGGCTAACCGCCTCTAATTTTGAGCGATAGACTAGAGGTTTGTTTGTTTGGCTATCTGCTGTGTACACCGCGGGGAATTGAACCCCGTATTTTGGCGTTGTAAGTCTGTTAACTTACCCCTGCTCCACCGGGGGACAAGACTATAGGGAAGACAGCTAAGTCAACACCACCCACTGACAACACACGGGCTACCCTAACCAAATAGTGGTACTTGCCCGTCACTCTTATAACACACTCACGGCCTCAAAAGAGCGTAATTTTTTGTTTGGAGGTAACAGGGCGCGAGCTAGTAACCTCAAATCCACACTAGATCGGCCCTAAACAAAAGAGGAGCCAGAACATATCCGCCACACACTTTACTTCTTTCTATACGTGCGTATTATAATTTCGCGAATAAACATTATCACCGTGACACGAAAATACTGATAAACTGAACACATCATACCATAACGAATAACATTTTCAATCGTCTCAGTTTTTATAAACTATTCAGAGGGCCTGACTTACAACCGTATACTTTGCGCCAAATTAGATAAAACCATCGCAGGCCTGAGTGATTTGTCAGAAGTGTTACCAGTCATTACTACGTACACCCTATGGTTACAAGTTAATATTAAAGTATTCAAAACTTTGATTGCCTCATGCACATCTAACATTATAAGAAAAGCAGTAAGTAATGTTACTGTCATTGTAATTTATAGACAACCTTAGCTGTTTACCGTTATAAACAAAATACTGAGTTTGGTTTGAATTTCGCGCAAAGCTACCTTTTACCGACGAATAGTGATATTGACCGTCACATTATAACGCCTCCACGGCTGAAAAGGCGAGCATGTTTGATGGGACGGGGGGATTCGAACTCGCGATTCTCGGATTGCGAGTAAAGCGCCCTAACCACCTGGCCATGCAGCAATTCAACAGCAACTAAAGCCTCAAAGAGCGGAATGCGATTTTGCGGCAACAGAATGCGAACAATAGAATCTCGAATTAACTGTCGGAAACACTAACTAATTGGCCATGCAGCAATTCAACAGCAACTAAAGCCCCAAAGAGCGGAATGCGATTTTGCGGCAACAGAATGCGAACAAAAGAATCTCGAATTAACTGTCGGAAACACTAACTAATTGGCCACACTTAGCTCATATAACATACTGACTTGATATTCGGATTATACAAAGAAAGGCTTGTATATGTGATAAGATTTTCTCACAACAATATTACACAGAAGGGTGTGTGCGTGTGTTATATTCTAACTGCTATAAAGTGGATTATTCACTAATACAATCGGTTGCATTTTTAGTGAAATAACCTTTAAGGATTTCTATGGGATATTGGAATGTTTTAATTTGTTATGCACATAAGTAAGGATGATATGTTTGTTAAACAAACGAAAAATTAATAATGGCTTTATAAACAGATATAATTACATATTTTAATACGACTATAATTAAATTAAGTTTGATATTTTGTTGATATTGATCTCCATCTTAGTTTTGACGTTAAGAATTGAATGAAAACTTGTATAGTTCTGCTCTCTTCCAGCAAGCAAAAAAATATTTAAAGATACTTTCTAAATTGAACTAACAAAAATCCATACTTTCAACGGAAGAGTAACGCCACTTTCTCGTCCAGCCAAGTCTGAAACTGACTGCGTTGCATGAATGAGTCCATGTACAGCAAGTCGACCATTCCTAAATCTTGTTTATTTTCAAAACGGCAGCTGTTGCACTAATATTTGCAGTTTATTTTCTTTACTCACATTTTTTTAAGGTTACACAAATATTAAAACGTGTTTTGAACAGATTTCAAAATAAAAATGTAAAAACCATCGTGTAATTCTGACTTCACTAATAAGAAATACAGAAGCCAATTACGGCAAAAACAAAACAAAAAGAGTAATAGCAGACTTCCTTCGCAAAACATCACAAAAAACAACAACACGCAAACAGTAATTTATCAAAATATTTTTACCGTTTCTCAAATCACACGCTCTGTTACTTTCTTGAACAAATAATAGCCAATTATCAATTCCACTAGCATAGCTATTACCATCTACAATTTAAAAATTCCTATTTTAAGACGAACGTTTGCAAGTGACAAATAACAGCATATAATTTCAGAAACATTCCAAGATGGTGGACATATAGTCGCACATCAACAACTCCAATATAAAATCATTATTTCTACAAATAAAGACAATATTTTCATTTGTATTTGCTATACTGTTCATAAAATGAAAACAAATAATAAGTTGATGTTGTTTTTTTACAAGAAATTAATTAACTGGTTAAGGTAATCCTTATGTTGAAATATATGCATTAAAAGACGGAATTTTCCGAAAAAGCATTTCAGCCAAAATGAACCAATCGTTTTGCCTTCCCACAGACCCCACTCTGCCCATGTATTGTTCCTTTACAAGAATAATAAAACGCTATCCGATATAAACCGTTTGTAATGTTTTTGCATGATTTAAAACAGTAATCATAAGTAAATGAGATCAACATAGTTTGCATAATTAAAGATCACTTAATGCAAGTATAATAATTTATAACTTCCACAGAGGCAGAACGTGG